AAGCCCCATGTCTTCTTCTTGAAGTCTCATTTTTAACCTTAGATAAATGCATCTCACTGCTCCATTTAAATCAGGCCCCCAGCCATTTGCTGTCACTGTCCTGTATTTATCGCTGTCTATTTGCAACATGTCACCTGCCACATGATATTCTGTTACTTCATTATGTGTTTATTAGTTGTACCCTCCATTATAACATCATCTCATAAAAGCAGAGATTGTTTTTCTTCTTGTTCACACTTATACTCCCAGTTATAAAGGGATCCTGTGCTAAGAGGAGTCTCTGGAAATGTTTGTTGAGTGAATGAATGATGAATGAATGAAGCCTATAGACAAATTATCTCTTCTGTCGGTATAAACTCATCAAATCAGGTAACTCCTGCTTTTCTAGTTGATTCACCACTGGAAAGCTTTGAAACAAGGTTTTTTTTCCATTCTCATTTGTTATATTTGACAACAGAATGCATTTCAATTCATATTACACATATAGAGCACAGTTTTTCATATCTCTGGTTGTTCACAAGGTAGAATCACATCATTCAAGTGTTCATACATGTACTTAAGGTAATGACATCCATCTAATTCCACCGAGTTTCTTACCCCCATACTCTCTCCCTAAAACAAAGTTTTTATGAAAAAGTTTAATGCACATCTTTTCATTCTTTCTTTTGTTTTTTGTTTTGCCAAAATGCTGCAAAACAGTCCTGCAAAGATTTCCTTGATTTGGGTGGATACTGAAAAGTTTCAAATCTGTCTTAAATTTGGTGCCAATTCCCTGTCTGGGTCATACTTCAGTTTGGATTCTGAGCCTTTATTGTGATGTGGGATGCCCCTCAGAAGAGCTTTGTGTTTGGATGTTGAGAAGGTGGCTTGGGAAGCATCTTCGGCCTCACACACGTGAGGCAGAAGCAATGCTTTTAGCTTCTTTGGAGAGTAGAGGTCTGGTACTCACCCCTTCAACAAGCCCCGTACCATGCATGACCCCCTCTTAGGTTTGGCCCAGTTCTCAGAGAACAGCATTGAACCCCACTGTTTCTCTCCTCCTCCTGCCCATCATCCCTTCACACCAAAGATAGAAGGCATAATAGAAGCTGCAGTGTGACATCTTTTTTACTGCGGTTCCCAAGGACGTGCGACAAGCAGAATTCAGTGAGGCAGAGAAGGGGCCTGGACTTTTCGATCAACTCCTGTGACTTATGAGTTGTGTCCACTCCCTCTGTACCACCTTTCCAAAAAATGGGAGTGATATGAATGCCTGCTTCATCCAGGTGCTGGGACGCGTGTGCAGGACAATTCACAGGCAGCGCTGAGCACAGACAGTATATGCCATATACAAGGAGGAAAGCGGTTATTTTATTACTGGTGCATCTTTTCTATGATTATTGCTTTTGCACCCGTGTCTGGCCTGGGTGCTCCCTGCAAGCCTTTTCAGACAGCAGCAGGATCGATGGGAGCCAGATGCATGAGTCTCCTCCACAGGCGGCCCCAGGGCAGCTCCTCAGGTGGCTGAAGACAGAGAACAGAGTGGCGGAGAGAGCTGACCGTTGCCACGGGGTGCAGAGAGGACTGAACACAGCCCGCAGCTTCAAGAGCAAGGCCAGAGACACAGAGTTCTCTTGCATTTTGGCCCAAGAAGTGATATAACTGGGTGGTTTTTATATTTCCTTGAGAGAGAAAAATACCGACGGCAGCTGTACCTTCTTTCCAGCGACAGCACGCAGACCCAGGTTTGGTTCTGACCATGTGGCTTCCCTGAAGCCACCTCCTGTTCCTTTGAAATATGTGCCATCCGCGGCCACATAAATCCTTCCTGAATCCACATGGTAATTCAAACATATGGTAAAGGAAATTCTGAGGTTTTATCTGCCAAGCCTGACCTCCAACTTCCAGCTAACAGATTGCTGTGTGATTTTTAATTAAGTCTTCATACTCACAAGCACCAGTTGTTAGAAAAATGCAGTGTAGATAGCATATTGTGGCATCATTATGGTTTTTAGTTTGAGTATCATTTCCTTCAAAGTAGCTTATCAAAAGGAAATTGACATTATTTCACTTTTTGTTGTTGTTGTTGTTGTTGTTAGTGGGGATGGAACCCAGGAGTGCTTTACCACTGAGCTACATCTCCAGCCCTTTTTATTTTTTATTTTGAAGCACAGTCTCACTCAGTTGCGTACAGCCTCACTGAATTGCTGATGTTAGCCTCAAACCTGTGATCCTTCTGCCTCAGCCTCCATAATGAGATGAGATGACAGGCATGTGCCACTCCTCCTGGCCCATTATTACACTCTGTCACTATTGGGCTTCGTAAGAACTTTACAGGACATTCACTGCCCAATGTATTTTAAAAATATAAAAACATAGGAAACTACCAGCAGAATGAACTTGGCAAAAAATGAAATATTCTGATATTGTAGACCTCTGTTTTCCCCTCCACAGGGGATAAACCCCAGATGGAGTCATGATTTAAATACAAACAAATTAATCAGTAAATAACTTGGAGGAAAGTACAGAAAACGACTTGCATTACCTTGCAATGAGAAGAGTTTTCTTCAATAAACTATGTGTCTCAGGGAAGAGGCTGCAATGCTTGATCGGTAACATTAGTTAAGAGTTTGCAAGACAAAAATACACCAAAGAATACCAAATAAGTATTTGTGCAACATAGTATTAAACTGGAGGCAGATCCATGAACCCGAGATATAATAGATACTCAAAAATGAATGTCAAGTCAAAATACAAACATTCCAAACAGGTATCTGAATATGAGTGACATCTTTTGATCCCTAACTTGCATTATAAAAGGATCTGGGCAGTCATTGGTGGTGGGCTGGGGAAGGGTGGAATGCAGACTGGAAGAAGTATTTGTCTAGGGGATATCTGGGGGTAACTGCTGCTGTCCTAAAAATCCCCATCCTTGTCCCCTTACTCCAAGACTAGTGAGAAGGGCTTTGCTTGAATCATAAGGAAATCCTCTCTGGTGCATTTGGAGAACTATCCCGGCTAAGAGCTGAGCTTCCAAGCTGACCTGCTGAGCCACAGGAGTTGCTCTTACCGTAGTGTCTGATTGTTCTCCCAGAATGTACCAGGGCAATGTGTCCAGATCCATGTGTGGTTAGGACAGGGATGTATCCTAGAGATTGGCTGCAGGGCCCCAGGTGCAAAGAGGAGAGATCCCAGGAGGGCTCATTTACGGCCGTAGGGGAGTCTGACTGCAGAATCTGCAACTCTAAGAGAGCAAGAGTCCATCCTGTGACAGTGTCCAATGATGAAGAGCCTCTGCCCCCGCCCTCAACTTTTTCTTCCTCCTCCATACCTCAGCCACACGGGTCCTCAAGTTATCCATTGTGAGAGAGTAGAAAATGAATGAAAACCCAACCACACCCCAATTTCCAAACAGAGGCTTCTCTGTCCGACACAAACCAGAGCTTTCAAACAACCTGGATCTCTGATTATCGAATGAGATGCCGCACTTTCTAGTTCTCTGTTATCTTCCTACTCTTGTTGCTTTCTGAATCGACACAGTTTGTGTGATCTAAAAGTTGACCAAGTTTTCGCTCAGAGACAGGGGAAGAATGTGTGTCCCAGAATAAACGGAAAAATGAAAAGGTGGGGAGAAAATACTGACTTAAATGAAGCTCCCGAGTCCTGCTTATTCAATATTAGTGGTTACCTTCATGGTACATGTAAGAGACAAAGGCCTTACTCGGGGATTCTTAAAGACTTCCTAGACATCCAGGCTACTTGTTAAGAAATATAAATAGGCACTACAGATGAAATTATGCTCAAGTCAAGAAGGAATCTAAGAAAAGCAACAGAAAGCAAAGAGGGCTCATTCTTTGGGCTCATTAAATGGATAAAAATTACTCAAACTAGTAATCGGCCACGTTCTAAGATGGGAAAGAAACAAGTACATCCATCTACCATTGATAAGGCCGTAAATTGGCCTCTCCATTTTAGAAGAGAACCTAATAGAAACGATCAGATTTTAAATTGGACATACCATGAGACACAGGAACTCCACTGCTAGGGATGCCCTTGAGATAAATCTTTATACCTCTGTACTTAGAGATATTCATTTTTTTTTTACCTGAAATCATAGAGAATGTATTATATCAAAGAAGTATGCTAGAAACTGGCAAAATCACATCACAGGTGAAAGAAACACAAGGCCTCTGCCCTTATGAGGCTTACTTTCTATAAGTAAAGTTTTAAAAAATTTATATGAAGGGCGCAGTGGTGCACACCTGTAATCCCAGTGGCTCAGGAGGCTGAGGCAGGAGGATCTTGAGTTCAAAGCCAGCTTCAGCAACTTAGTGAGGCCCTAAGCAACTTTGTGAGGCCCTGTCTCTAAATGAACTATTTAAAAGGTCTGGGGGATGTGGCTCAGTCCTTAAGTACCCCTGGGTTCAATCCCTAGTACCAAAAAAAGAAAAAAAAAGTAAATTACAAGACAGTGAGTTAGGGAGTCAGGAGTGGAACTAACAGCCATGTGGGATTAACAGCCATGTGGGATGCTTGTATGGGGCAAGGTGAATATTTGGTTTTGTAGTCCGACTGTGCCTGTGAAAGAGGTAAAGGGGAAGCCACATGACCATGCAGAAAATCAAAGAGGCACAGGGGGTGGGGGTCCATACAGTGACTGCAGAAGGGACTTACTGTCCAGCCTTCCTGAATGCTTTCCCAGCTTGGTTGGGTAAGGGGTAAGGCACCCAGCTGTGAGTGAGATGGAGCTTCTTCAGAGGAAGGGATGCCAGAGATCTTGAGAAGATACAAGACGTGGAACCATTATCTAGGAGACACAGAGAATAAACAGACCAGGAAACACTGCTGGAGTTGGGATCTGAAATCTCCCCCAAAGGAGCTTGGTCCTCAGCTTGGGGCTATTGGGAGGAAGTGGGACCTTTAAGAGGTGGGGCCTAGTGGGAGGTTCTGAGTCTTTGGGGGTGTGTCCTTAAAGGGGATTGTGGGATGCTAATCTCTTCCTTCTTTTCTTTTTCCCCCAGCTGTCGTGAGGTGAGCAGCTTATTCCATCACACACTCCTCATCATGATGTGCTTCATCACCATGAGCCCAAAAGCAATGAAGCCAATCAATCATGGGCTGGAACTTCCAAAACCGTGAGCCAAATGAACCTTTCTTCTTTTTTAGTTGATCATCTCAGATCTATCCGTGACAGTAATGTAAAGCTGACCAACACACACAGTATAATAGCCAGGAAGCCAGATAGACCAGTCTGAGGATTGAAATGAATTTCGACTGATCAGCCTGTTTGGTTTTCTGCAAACATGCTGCTGAACAGATTCAGACAGAAAATGAGAGAAACTTGAAGCTACCCAGAGTTAGTGTTTGCCAAGTGAATTGAAAAAGCACAAGGTATCTGAGCATGATGGGGAATGTGGGTGGATGATTTTTTATGAGTGACTATGGACTGTAAGTAACTGGACAATGGGGAAACATGAGCCATCATGGCCAAATGGAAGGATTGTGGGTCCCATCAAATCTGAGAAATGTTGACTTTGGGGTAGCACATGGGGTAAACTGGACAGCAGAAGTCCTATTATTCTCACCAGGAAAAAATATGTAAAATAGTTATATGTTACCCACAGGAAATGGTAACACAAATCGTGTCACATCCATATTATATATTTCTGACAAGTGATAAAAAATATCATACAGTTTGGCTGCATATACTGGAGAAAATGCTAATGATGGGGGAGAAGCCAAGTGAGAGATAGATAGTACAATATAGATGGTTGAATCCCACATAAAAATGTTCATTCACAACCAAAAAGGTCACACCCATGTGAAAATAGATATCAAATGGTATAGAAGGGTCTGACCCAAATTGGTCACTGAGCAGAAGAGTGCAGAACCTCTAGAAGATAGCTCCCTGGGGAGAGGGACCCTGAGTCTATTCCCCACCAAATTAACCACCACCTGCCCAGGGCACCGTGGCTGTGCAGGAGTTCAGTGTCACGGTTCTGTGGATGAGTGAGGAACTTTGGCTTTACCCTGGATATTTCTTTTCAGCTAAAACTTGAAGACACTGTGTTTACCCTTCATAAAATTAAAACTAACCAACCTAACGCAGAACTGAGAATAAACATACCACGGAAAGTCCTCAAACACACATTTTCAATTAAGACAGGGCTTGTGAGAGAGCGACAGATGAAATTCTGAACCTTGAGATGATTTTTCTCTGAATGAGTCACATATTTTTTTTTTTACTCTCTTTTTATGTGCCTTTTCTCTAATGTAAAGACGAATTAAAAAGTAGTTTGTTGCCCCCAAAGCTCCGGCATCTTCCCATGTCGTTCCAGAAGCTTCCTCTGCAGAGGGCAAAATAAAAAAAAATAAATGACTGTTCACAGACGTCAACACAAAACAACCCCATTGGGCTGATTAAAATCGAGCTGTAACGTCTACCGGCCTTCATGTAACACCGTTTGGTCGCTCCTGGTGGACTATTAATTCACCAGCCTGATTTTCTTGCCTTACTACTTGGTGCTTTATGTATGTTTGTAGGGGAAGAAGTTTTATAGCAACCTCAAATTAGACTTGGAGAGACTTCATTCTTAACTGGTTTAAATATTG